CAATGAAATAGAACAATTCAACGAGTTTTTCATTCACTGTTTTCAAAATTTTAAAAAAAGTTAAAAACCTTAACCCCATTAAAAAATAGAACATTTTTTATATTATGATAGGTGCTGAAAACAATAAATCGAATCAGTAGACTATAAGTGGTTAAATCTTTTTTTAAATCCATAACAATACTGAAATTATTAACAAGTCTTTGACTAATTTCTTTATTTGTTTGTGTAAAAATAAATTATAGATTTATGTTTATTTTGTACATATTTTGACGTTTTCGGCGTGTTTTATTTGGGTCCACGTTGTTCAATTGATAATTATTAAAGAAAAATAAAATTAATTTAAGTTAATATTTATCATCAAAGTTTTGTTACGCTCAACGTATTATAAATTAAAACGTTTGAAAATTTATTTTGTGTCAAAAAAGTTTAAAACATATTTAAACATATTTTACAGTTATTTGACTATTTCATGGTACGTCTGCGTTAACCCCCCCAAAAAATTCAACTTATGAATTGTTCAAATAATTTAGATTTACAATTTATTTTCTAATAAAATTTTATTATAAGTTAGTTTACGCAACTTTTTACGCAAAAAAAAAAAAAAAAAAAAGTTTTTTTTTTTCGGCGCCAAAAATTGAACGAGATACTTTAGGAAAATATTTCATAAAAAGTCTATGAAGTGAAAATATTAAAACAAATATATCTTTGGAACTAAATAAGCTACAGAGGTGGTTGAAACCATTTTGAAAATGAAATATATTAAGGAATATAATGCATTTAATATAAAAAAAATTTACATTTGCTATAAATATTGCCTAAACTGCCTACATATAAATTGTTGGATAGGTTGACCCTTCCAAATCATCCCTTACAGCTTTAAAAACTTTTAAAAATTTAACCAAAACCTCCAAATGATTTTTGTCGATTGCCTCAATTGCTACCATTTTCTTAGTTCCTCGTTAATGAATCAACAATTCATCATACATTTAGAAGGACTCCTTTAAAGAGTGCCAGATGTGAATTCCAACGTGTAGCTACATATTTTTTAAGAGTCCGGCTAATTTTTCCATTCACATTTCCACTCTTCACGAATGTAACAACTTGATAACAATTGTGAAGAAGATCATGTAAGGATAAGCAGTGAATTTTCAGTTCAGATGGTTTAAAAAGTTTTGTCAAAACATTGTTCAAGATGTGGCTGCTACATGAAATTCTTGTCGATTGCAAGATTTCTGGACGAATGTCTATATCTTCTGTTGCTACTACAAAGCCACTGTCTTTGAAAGCACTCAAAATATTAGAACCTTGATCAGTAGTGAAAATTATTCGTCTCAGTCCGCCAGCAATATAGGCATCTACCTTTTTAAAATTGTCAATGAGATATCGAGAGACAACAGTGGCAGTTTTTGAAATAGAAGGTAACTCAGAAAAAGCCATTGCCGCCTCCTGTACTTGATTATTTTCAATCCAATGCAGCGTCATCAATAGATATGAGTTTCTATGAAAATCATCAGTCCAAATGTCAGTAGTTATGCCTACACCACTTCTTTCTAGTTTTGCTTTGAGTATTCGGCTGATTGTGGTTTTAGACTTTGAAACACTAGTTTTAATGGCTTCAGCAACTTTGTGTTTGGAAGAAAGAATGTCTTTAGCAGTAATATGTCCCCGATAAGTAGCACCAAGATGAATAGCAGTGTTAATGACTGATTCAAATCCTTCCCCATAAATTGTTACAAGTGGACGAAGATCAGTACTAAATAACGCAAGACAACTATTCAACATCGCATTCTTGTAGTTTTTATGAATTTGCACAGATGTTTTGAAGGTAGAATTTTCCTTTTTTCTTATGGCAAAAGAAACTGTGAAGGATCTTGAGCTGTTGGGGCATGTGTTTTTAAATGTCTGATCAAAGTAGTAGTGCTACTTAGCTTTTGGTGAACAGCTTTTTTACAAATGTTACAAACTGCAATATTTTTGACAGGTTTGGTGGCATGTAATTTGAAAAGCAAAGAAAAACTCATCCAAACTTTTGACTTGCCTACACCAGTAGTTTTTGCTTTCAAAAGAACAGAACCACTGGAAATTTGTTCATTTAAAATTGCATTAAGTTCAATGACTTCATCTGAAGTCTCATAGATCTCTTTTATAACATGCGCCATTTTGTATTTTTGTGTAATAAGTTCTCGAAAAAATAATACTAAATCGAATTTGACATTATGCAAAGTTAAAAAATAAAGTAGATATTTACAAAGCAAAAGTTTTTTAATAAATTCAATAAATGTATAAACTTTTTGTAATATATATTTAATATGTTATAAAAGAAAAATTCAATTAAAAATTAAAAAAAAGTTTGTTTTTTGTTCACAACCAAACAAAAGGAAATTTATCAAATCTTCTTTGCTTTTGGTCATGTTCGAATTTGATAATCAAAATAAGTTTTTCTTATGCAGTTTTTTACGCTGATTTCAAAAAACTAAACTATAAATTATGAAAACCACTGCATCAGTGTTAAAAAAAATTAAATGCTTCGATTCACCATTATCCTGTAGTCCAAGGAGAATGAAACTTTTTTAATAAATGTCTTGAAATAATTTAAAGCTGTGGTGAATAATTTGGATTAAAATGGAATAAATTCAAGATAGAAAATAATGCTGAACAAGACCTACAACCGAACAGTCGAACACTTTCTGAAAAGTCAATCAATTTTAATCGATTTGGCCCAGAAATGCCGGCCCGGTCGGACGCCGAACATGGAGACCATAAAAAAGTCGGACAATGGCGGACATCGGACTAAACATTCTTCAATCAGAACCGAACATTTCGATCACGAACACCGTTGAAAATTTTTTAATTCAAACCGATCAATCATCTTGTAAAATTTTTTTGACTTGGTCGCACATCGGATACAATGTGGCCCATGTCCGATCATCTCTAGATATTGTGTTGTTTATTAGATAATTGCTGATGGTAATGTTGTTTATGTTGATTATTTTCATTATTATCAAAATAGTCCCAGATTAATCTGTTAGTTGCTTTGTTTATTGTTGCTTTATTTCTAATTTAATTTTATCTCTAAGTATAAATTTATGTTAAGAAAGAAAAGTTTTTATTTCATCGCTCGCTCTTTTTATAAAAGAGTAGAACAAAAGAGAAAGAAAAGTTTCGCGTAATTAAACTTCGAGTTGTATAGTTTATATATATATATATTGCGTCACTCGTTCTTTTTTTAGATGAGAGGAATAAAAGTTTAATAGTAACTTTTCTTTGAATAAATGAAAAATGGAAGAGAAAATTGCATGAAAATTTGTATTTGTTGTGTTTTAAAATTTTTTTAACTTTTCATGTTAAGAGACAAATGCCAAATACGATACAATTTGAGAAATACCAAATATAATATGTTTTTTAACGCGCTTTATGATATTTTGACAATTTAAATTACCATTTATTTTGAATTATTGCCATTAATTAATGTGTTAATTAATGCGTTATATAATAATAGTTTGTCCGTATTTTTGTTAAATATTAGTTGCATGAAACGGGCAAAAATATACAAACTTCATGTTTTTTATTTGATAGTTATAAAATATTTATAACGCCGACTTGTGTTGCTATTAATTGTACTTTTAATGCAAAACCAGGATCTCACATATCCTTTCACGAATATTCATATCTGATACTACTGTCAACTGTATTGTTTAGTGTAATCTTGTATTTTTTTTTTTCATAACCTTAACAAGTTCTAATTGATATGGAGTTGCCGACATTTTAAAAGTTTCATCAAAAATCAAATGTAAAATAAAAAAATATTTCCTTTTTATCCGTATCTAACTTAGCAAATTTAGCAATTTAAAATAAATTAGCGTTATCAAAAAATTTTTATAGTAAAAAAAGTTGACAATTCATCAAATATCTCTAATTAATACTGTCAGTTTATGAAATTAATTGTTAATACTTTTTTTCAACGGAAAAAAAAAATATCATAGCGTAAAAAGAACCAGAAAAGTTAGAAAAAGTTTCCATTGTTTAAATAAAAATAAGTAAGATTCAGAATATATAGCTGCGCTCTCTTGCACAAAAACGAGAGACCGTATACACAGGGCTGTACTGGGGGTGGTCAAGCGGCCCGGGACTGTAAACCAAGCGGTCCGGCCCACATACATCAATACTAAGTCATTAAGGGGCGGGGGAGGATGAGGGGTGATTCAGCTAGGAAATTCGGACTTGCATAGCAGCAGCAAAAAAGTTCGTATCATGTTCAGGAGTTAGATAAAATTACGGCGACATTTTTAAGGCCTACAAATTGTAGACTGCTTCACATTTTTATTCTTACATCATATATATTTATATATATCTATAGAGGTATATAGCTACCATTTACCATACAGGCATAATATAGAAGTTTCAAAATGTTTTAATCGGTAGTCGAAAATATCGCTCGAAAAGTCACAACTATACTATAATGTGCAAGCTCTCTGCTCTACTACAAAACAATTATTTGACTAAGTTGCACAAAAACATGTGATAATCGACTTTGATGCTTTAACAGTAATATTTATAGCACGTACCTTATACATGGTATAGTTAGTGCAAAACTGCATTCGACCAATAGAATCTGTATTGCAATCATAAAAGATATACAAGCTGTCTCCAGAATTCTGTGGTTATAATGTGTTGCACTCGATATTAACAAAAAAAATAACCCATCAATTATGATTTGGTAACGTCCGTAATAACATAATGTTTCTGTCGCCATATTATCGAAACTTACCGAATATGGATGGTAGTGGATCAAAGGACCAGATGTGTTTTTAGCCCAGGTGCGATTTCTGCAACCGAGTCGATGATGTCTTCGTTGGACAGCCCAACCATAACATCTACTTCGACAGACATCAGCATGAAAGCTTCTAAATGCGTGGACGACATTGAACTTCGCAGTCTGTTTTTAATGTATTTTAATTTGGAAAAGGACCGTTCACACGCAACTTGAGTAGACGTTAAAGTCAGCAAGAGCTTATAAGCATTGTACAAATGGGTGTATAGGCTTTGCTGTAGAAATTGTATTTGTGTAAAACCTTGAAGCAACAGACGGGGCAATTTTTGCAACTCTTGCATTTACCATGAGCTTCTTTGTCTTCAGAGAACGAAGAAGAAACTGCAGTTTCCTCGTCGTTCTCCAATTCATCGTTGTTGTTTCGGTTTTCCGCTAAGTTCATGCCCAAATACTCTTCAGAAACGGTCTTCTTAAATTTGCTCCACTTGAGCGAAAAGTCGATGAGTTCGGATTGTAAATTTGAAGCTGTTGCATCTTTATTAAATTTTGTTAGAATGCTGCTGAGACGTACTAAGGCAGTAGGTTGGATACCGTTTTTTTTGATATCGTAGAAATTTTCCGGATTCAAGCACGCCATGTCAGCGAACAACGTGTCTTGAGCTTTAAAGCGTTCTTCCAAAGTTTTCACTACTTTGTCCATAACGCAGTTGCGTACCGTTATCCTGTAGCAATCAATTGCGCGATCTCCGACAGCCTCGTGAGTGCGTTGCTCACCGCTCATTGCTTTTGGGACGCGAACTCGTTTCTCTGGCAATGCAGTTTCAACCGTCAAATCAATTTTCAGATCTTCCAATGAGTTGTTGGCCCACTCGACAAATTTTTTAGCGCTCGCATTAATGCCATCAAAGTCTCTGGAAACGTCTCGCAGTGCCTTGATAGTGCAGTCAACGTTTCGGTAGGCTTGGAGCACGTCCATCTCACTTGTCTGCAGGTACTTGGAAAGTGATGCTGTGTGTTGGAATATACGCAAAAAAACTTGAACGGTAAGAATTGTTTCAAACGAGATGCACTTATCTAATAGGGTTTGGGCGGTGTCGCGAACAGTTGGGTTAAAGTCTTCAGAGGAGGCTAACTCTTGTAAAGTTTCAATTAGCTCAATATACAAGGACGTCGATGGGTTGTTGAAGCTTCCAATTATTTTTTTTAATGCATGGTCCTTTGCCCACCAGCGTGTCTCGCCAATTACATTTAGTCTTCTATTGTTTGATTGTTTTGACGCCCATATGTCCATTCGTATATATGATTCGCGCAAGAAAACAGCACATTTGTTTATAAGCTGAAATATACTGATTGCAGCTTTGGTGGTTTGTGTGGTATCAACAAGAACAAGATTCAATACATGAGCGTAACACCACACATGCACTTGGTTTGGGGATGCCTCATTGAGCCATTTTGTGAAACCGGAATATTGGCCCTGCATGTTTGCCGCCCCGTCTGTAGAGTTTCCCACACAGTTTTCAATGTTTATGCCCATTTTGACAATTTCATCCCGGAACAGCTCAAACATACCCTTGCCTGTCGAGTTAGTACAATTGCTGACGGATACCAGTCGCTCGTAAATATGGTCTTTAACATATCGGATTACAATCGAGCATTGATCCTTTACGCTAACATCTTGCGTTGTGTCCAGTTGCACGGAGAACATTCCTGCCGATTGAATCTCATCTGCAATCGATGCCTTAATCATACGGCGAGCAGATTCAATTACATAATTGACAGTAGTGCTTGAAATAAATATTACTAACCCTCCTCGTCCCTTCGTTCCTGATGCTGCGCACGTGACATGTCGTTGCTTACTTTTCTCCGTCACGATGTCAAGATGATTTTTCATAAGCGGGCCAAATTTAGACAGAAGGATTAAAATTTCTAAAAAGTTCCCGTGGTCAATATTGACATTGTCCAGACAGTAGGCTGCGTCATTGATAGATTTGTAACTAAGTCCTCGCTTTCCAATAATTTTAACAATTTCTATCACACGTTCTAGAACTTGCCATTTTTCTTTAACTTAAGCAGCTCTAACATATTTTTGATTTGAAAAAAGCAATCTATATACGTCCTTGTCATTGCTCGACATAATGTGTGCCTCTTCACTCCTGCAATGGTGTTTACTCGATTCGTGTTCTTCGATTTGTTGGTGAACATGCTTCCAATCATTCATGCCATCAGTAAATGCATTGGATTCACTAGCTTTGCTGTAGGCCAGACACACTGTGCGAAACATGGCCTTCGAACTGTGACAGTAAGAAAGCCAAACCCTATTGATATCGTCTTGGCTTCTGTAAAACACTCGACGAACATTAGGAAATGGTAAATTTTCCCCATCCTCTTTTGGTTGAACCGGATGACTCTTTAAAAAAATGATTCAAGGCACTGCGATTGTGGACGCATGAAAATTTCCGAACACTGATTCTGAGGCCGGGAGTCAGAGGATACATATTTCTGGGATGGAGTTAGCACAGTGCAGCTCACGGAGACTGAGACGGCAGGACCGGCTTGATCGCCGTCAGAAATTTGAGAACCTAAATCATCAACCAGAGTATCACCACCAAACTGGGTGGGGGTACTTAGTCTAAAAGTTCGGTTATCTTTTTACACTTTTCTCCCCCTTGAAGAAGAAGCTTTTGTTTCTTTTCACGTTGCTTTTCTGCCCCGCCTTTACTTTTCCGTTTCAAATTTTCACTCATCTTATCAAATATATACGTAAGGAGAAGACTATAATATTAGAGGCCCATTTAAGTTTACATTTTAACTTTATTACTATTTTGCGGACAAACATGGAAACATACATAAAATGAAATGTTCTCAAAACGACTAAAAAATCTGGCCAGTATTATTTCCGTGGTTAACGATCGCTCCGATCGCTCCCGCTTCCCGAATACGCAATCATCAACTTTTCACTTTATGCTACACGTAGTTTCACACACTGTTTTCAAATGCCGTTTTCACCGTTACACGACCTGTCACTTCAAAAAATTTACTTCACAGAATGCAATCATTAAAATAACGAAATATCTCACCACGGATGGTATCGCATAATTATCGTTAGCCATAAATCGCGTTTGAAGTCAAAAGCAGATCAAAACAACCTGCTAAAAACCAGGCGGCCCACCGGGAATCGTCCCGGTGTCCCGGCGGCCCAGTCCAGCCCTGCGTATACATAGCGTTCTATATAATGTAAAACACTCGTATGAAAACCATAAGATTCGTAAGTAAAGCTTTAATATTTGTTTTAATTTAAAAACAATAGAAATATAAGTAAGATATATAAATCTAATAACCATTAAGATATTGGTAAAAAAAAAGTTCCTCTTACGAAATAAAAAGCTTTTATTATTTTTGATTTTTACACAAATTTGTTGTTATAAAAAGTTGTTTTGTTTACAAAAATTTGTTACTAAAAGTTGATTTGCTGTATGTTGAAATTTTTTTTCTTAATTAAAATAGAAAAACGCAACTTTGTTTCACACTTTTCTTTTT